CAATTTATGTCGTTGTTGTAATTTTAAAGGGCTATCATCTGTTTGCAGATACACCAAATGACTCTGTTCCAATTTCATACTAATCTCATGTAATCTGTCTTTGCCTCTCATTATTATATCATTCGCCATTTTTATTCCTAAAATTATAACATAACAAATGAAATTTATAACTATTTGTGACAAATATAATGAAATTGTTAGCCTTTATACATGTTGTAGAAAAATGTACAGGTTGTAGAAAAACTAAAAAACACTATCGTTTCTTGAAATTCTGGTGTTTTAGAAAATTGACAGCTGATGGAAATTTGCTTAAACTATTTGTAAAACTTTCCTAATAAGATGTAATGATTAAGAACAACGAATGCCGTATAGAAATAGTCAGTATTTATGCTGGTATAGATTACCAACCTCTTAGAAATCTGATTTTGGAATAGATTCCCGATTCAAACTACAACTAGCTCCAACCTAAAAATAAATCCTATATTTAGTAATGGAATCACAGCTCTGTAAATAGGCCAATAATTTTGTGATTACTTGACATGTAGCGTGATTTCCCATCTCAAAACACGAGCCATCGAATTAGCTTGATGCAATTTAAACGACGTATGCATATCTTTACATCTCTATAAATAATAAATATTGTTCGCAAATTTTTTTTCTTTTTGGTTATGTTCGCGTTACATCATGCACAGAATGTGCGAAGATATGAGATGTATATCTTTGAAATTGCTTTTTGTATATATATATATACACGCACCGCCAGGTGGAAATTACACGAACCACAGATGACTTCCTCTTTGAGTTTCTCTCTCTCTCTCTCTCTCTCTCTCTCTCTCTCTCTCTCTTTCGGCTTTAAAAGAGAAATATCAGATACTGTATTATTTCATTGACTATTAAGCATTTAAAGATAAATTTAAGGACGCCTTAAGTACAAGATTATGAATATGGGCAAGAGTTTTATGCCTCGCGCTTAAAGTCAACGAAAGATTGGTGCAATCGAATCTTAAGTAATGTCTCTAATGCCTGTATTCAGATCTTATACTTAAAGTTTCCTTAAATTTATCTTTAAATGCTCAGCAGCCAATGAAATAATTCGTAGAGCATCTAAAGATAAATTTAAGGAAGCCTTAAATATAAGGCTTGATTATGAATACGGGCATATAAATACAAGTATAAGTAATGTCTGCAGCCTTCAAAAAGTCCAAAACTCATTTTTTGAAGTAAATTACATAGTTATTTCTATCTGTAAAAAATAGACAACACGAGAAAAATATGAATTGATTTATTGATAAACTTCCGTTCTATCATCGACTCTACCGAGCCATAGCTTCTGTATTCGATTCTGTATTTTCAAACAAGGGAATCGATTCTATATCTTGAAACAAGGTGAAAATTACAAAAATGAGCAAATTTATTAGATATTGCCCAATGAAATTATTAGTATTCTAATAAATTCGCTCATTTTTGTAATTTTCACCTTGTTTCAAGATACAGAATTGAACCCCAGGAGATTCTGGGAGTCGATTGTGTATCTCGAAATGAAGTGAAAATTATAAAAGTGAGCAAATTCACTAGAATATTCATAATTTCAATTGGTCAATAACTAGTGAATTTGCTCACTTTTTGGCATTTTCATCTCATTTCAAGATACACAATCGACCCCCTGTATCTTTCAAGATATAGAATCATTCCCAAGAATCGATCGCCTGCATTGGACGCGGAAATACTTGCTGCGCAGCAAATATGATGCGATATATAACAATAACAGCTTACAGTTCCTAATGTGTTCATTGGTTACCGCGTCTCATTTTGTCGCGCGGCAAGCGTTTCCGCGTCCAGTGTGTAGGGGCTCGATTGTATATTTTGAAATGAGGTGAAAATTACAAAAATGAGCAATGATTATTAGGTATTGACCACTTAAATTATAAATATTCTAGTGAATTTGTTCACTTTTATAATTTTCACCTCATTTCAAGATACACCCCCAGGAGCCAATAGTTCTATCACAGTAGGCCAGTATAGCTACGGCCCTAATGTTGATAGTTTCTCTGTTGTGGCGCTTATTTTCTCTAAATTCTTTAAAATCTTATCAACATATATAAAATAACGAAACATATAATAATTATTTATTTAGTTTAAAAAATTATGTACACATATGTACACATACACACACACACACACACACACACACACACACACACACACACACACACACACACACACACACACACACACACACATATATATATATATACCACAATCAATATTAATACATTTGTAATATGCTCAATGGCCGATATTTAGAGTTGAATTCTTATATTTAAAACTGTCTTAAGTACAATCTTAAGATGTCATAAACCAATTGCAATTACTTAAGATGATCTTAAAAGAACAAATCATGAATATCGGCTAATAACATACAAGAGATATGATATTTCATTATAGGGATCTTATAAGTTTTTATTGCAACACACAAATAATATCTATACATACAAACAATTTATTTGAAATGGTAATTCCTTTAATACAATTATTACATATTTATTATTGTTATTTAATTATAACTAATTTTATAATTTAGTTGGCAATAGATCAAATAATATAATAAATACTGTGTAAAAAATTTATAAGTTTCTTAAAACAAGATAAATGCTTTAAAAATTTGAAATAGTAATAACTTGTCTTGCATATACAAACATGTATACTATCTCTTTTAAATAAGTTTCACTTTCCTAATAAATAATTTATATGAAAAAAGATAATAAATAATTTCTTGGAAGGAAAAAATATAAACAATATTTAAATATAGTACAATTGCTGTTTCAATTACAATTTCTATGTGAAGTAATATTTAACACAATGATTTAACAATTTAGATGGCATAAAAAAAAAGTGGATATTCAAAATATATCACGATATAAATGTATGAAGCACATCATTTCATCATATTTTGTAGTCTTTTAAATTTTTTAACAAAATCAGAATAAAAAAAAAATTAATTTACTAAAAAATATTGTCAAAAAGGACATATTTTACTTTTGTAAGTTTAACCAATGATATACCTTTATATAATACCCATCAACATCATGTTCGTTAGGAATAATTAATTTATATCGTGTATAAATCATTAATTATCCAATATTTTCATATGAAAAACATATTTTAAAGACTGTTATTCAAATCGAGACGTGGCCTTTTACTGCGTACTGTAGATGCATCATCCTGAGAATCACCATTGGTAGACAAAAATTCTCTCTTTCTATCTGCATTCTGTAGAGTTCCATATTTGTGATTAAAAATATCCATAAAAGTATTATATAATAAACATGTTTAGCAATACTTGTATGTAATATTATTAATTGTTAATATACTGTTGAATCAAATGATAAGACACCTTGCTACATCGTGAATGTCTTTGTATCTATTATATAAATAAAGGAAAAGAAGATAACTATACTATAATACTATAATAGAGACAAACTAGAAAAATCTGTCTTGGATATTTCCAAAATGAAAAAAGAAATTTTTAACAAATAAAATGTCGATATTATTTAGAAATTTCTACATATAAATTTAAGAAAAATTAATTATAAAATAATGAAATCATAAAGTACATTATGGTTTATTCTATTATCTTCAGATCAAAAGAATATATAGATATATATCATATTCATTACTAAAAAAAAATGTTGATCTGTTAGTAAAAAGTTTGGAACTCTATAAATAGATATTGCTAAAATTTAATAATACTTGAATTATATTAATTATAGAATTATTTCCAAAACAGTAATAGACAAAATTACATATTTAAGCACAATAATACAGACAATAAGTTATACTGTAAATTATTTTAAAGCTAAGATATATACTTAAATCTTATAGAAAATGCGTTTGAAATACTTAATAAAACTATATACAAAATGAAAACAATAATGATCCTAACAAAGTGAAAATCACAATTTTATTGATCCTGAAGATCAAAATTCTTTAACAAACCAAATATGAGTTTATCTAATAAAATGATTAAGGTAATTTTTTTTACAATAAAGGCAGACCTATTAATTATTAATATGAAAAGAATACTTTTATTTAATTACAATGTTTTTTGTTTTTTAAGGAAAGAATTTCATAATTTTGCTCAATTTAGAATTCATCATTTTTTTCAAATTAAAAATTGATTATACTATCCATTTATTTTACATGATTATTATTTAAGATAGTATTTCTATTTATTATGTTATGCTTAATATACGTGCAAAGTAGTATTCTAAAAATTTTCATAGTGTCTTATCATTTTGCAGCAATATACACACACACACACACACACACAAACATACATACATACACACACGCATATATATATATATATATATATAAATGCAGTATATGTTCTAACTGCTCCTTTACCTTTTTATCCCATTGTTGATGAAGATACCTCAATAAAATGGTGGTTTTCTCAGTAACTATGACTGTAAAAATAAAGAATTTAGCTAATATGTTAAAATATCATCCATATACTATAATATACTTATATATACTTATACAATATATACTTACTTTGTTCGGAAGGATAATCCTTAGTAGGAAGATAAACTGATGGCCTCTTGACACATGTCCGATTTCCATTATCAGTATGAAAATTTGCGAAATTGTTTTCATCATGTGATGGAAGGCCTTTTAAAAATTCAGCAACAGACTACAAAGAGATATTCATACAAATTTTATAGAAGCAAGATTTGATAATATTATATTTAGGGAGAGTATTACAGAAAAGATAAAATTCAGTAAAAGAATATTTGAGACTTTGAAATATATATTATTCATTATAAACATTCCTTGCACGCGCTTACAAAATCTAGAATATGGTACAAATATGTGATAAAAAAATAACATAAAATAAAATAGCAATTATTTATACATTTGGATCTTTCTCACCATTATAAGTAGACAATCTGTTGACTGTTAGATTTGAGATTATTCACATAAAAAAAAGACTTTTAGGCGATTTAATTGATACGAGACTATCATCGTCAAAATCGCCATCGAATATCGCGTGCAATGAGAAGGTATTCGCCAAACTTATTTCATACTTCTCACATTACGGCAAAATAACATTTATATTAGAAATAACACACAAAACTGCATCTTTATTGTTTAATGTCTATTACCATTTTTTATTAGATTCTATGTTATTTACTACTCGATAACTAGAGAGAAATGAAGTTAAATAATTAAACCGATGGATAAACACAACAGATTGAAACACTATTATTTTTCGATGAGTTTTGGAACGCATGTGTAAGGTCCTGCATACAATAGAAGGAATAAAGAATTAGTAATAAAAAATAAACGATTTTAACCTATCAGAAACCGTATATTCTGATATATCCGATTTCTGATAGATTAGAATCATTTATTTTTTATTCTTAATTCCTTATTCTTTCTATTGTACGCAGGACTTAATCCTACAAATATTATAAGGATAATTACATAGATGGCGACATTATTGTATCGGTACTGTTAGGTTAGGTCTCTCTAAATGTATCGGTTTCTGTCGGTGTCAGTTTCTGTATGAAAAACTATTTATTTGATGTTATTGATTGACATAGACAAGTAGATATAAATTGTACACATATTGCGTAAAATATATATTACATTTAATTTGAGACAAATGTTATTTTGCACGATTGAAAAAGAAGAATGGACAATTAATAAGAATATAAAATATACATTCAAAAAGATCTTTGAAGAAATCACGATAATTGTATTTGACTTTTGCTCATGATTACGTGTTTGTATTATGTATAATAGTGGCTGGAATAAATTAATTAAAAGTAACGACTGTTACAAATATGAACCTACAAACAATGTCAAGAAAAAATATTGTCTTATACAAATGTCTTTCAATCACGACGAAGAATATCTGATTGTAGGAGACACCAAAGGATACTTACATTATATTGAATTGCTTGGAGATGTTCCATGTTACAAAATATTAGGAAATATCGGGCGACCTACCTTTCTAACATTTAATCCTATATGTACAGAGGAAATATTGATAGGACTTGATACAGGTGACATAAAAATTTGGAAGCTTTATACCGATATCAATGAGTTTTCCTTGTTATCTGGTCACAAATTAGCACCAACACATGTTTCCTTTTATAAACATCATTGTCTGACAAGCTCTCGAAACGAAGTAATAATATGGGACCTAAACTCTTATAATAAAGTTCATCAATTAAATGTTAGGATAAAGAACGCTATCAAGAAAGCTGCCTTTTCTAATGTGGGTCATATCGTCGTGTTATATCACAATGACACTATGCAGGCTTGGACATTGAGACAGTTGCATAAGGATATTAAAATCGATACAAAGATATTTGGAATACGTTATATCAAAGATTTTATTTTTACGAAAGATGGAAGAGCTATGATAATGGGTGGTACAAGAAATATAAGCATTCTTAATACATATGATTGGAGTTTATTAAGGAAACTTTGTTTGCCTAATAATTTTATTGAAGCAAAACAATTGTCTGTTGTTCCATGTCCATTAGATGGTGGAGCAAATAAAATCCTTGCATTTCTATCCTCGAAAAACATGCTTCAATTTTGTGATATAAATGCATTAACTTTTCTTGAAATACCTATCTCTATTGATAGGATTAAAAAATTTGTAATTTCACCTACTGGTAAATATATAGCATACATAGATCAGGAAGGATGTTTAAACATAATGCATACAGACAAAATAATTTCAAAAAAATCTCTTCAACCTAACAAATTGTTAAAACCATATAGAGTACATGCGCACAAAATAAGTGATCATTTGGAATGCGTTAGACAAAACATAAAGCAAGAATTAAATATGAAACGATTAATGCCTATTTTGAAAGAATTTGGAGAATATCCAGAGAAATATCGTACATTAATTTGGTCCACTATTTTAAAATTACCAGCTAATAAAAACGCATATATTGCCTTAACAAGTAAGGTAACACATGAAAGATTTGCATTGAATATTTTAAAAAGTCTTCCTTTGGCAGATAAAAGCAAAGCATCGTTGTTAGCCATGACAATAGATTGCTTGTTGCAATGGTGTCCTCTTCTAATACAGTGTCTATTTCTTCCCAACTTAATTTTCCCATTTCTTATGACATTTCAGGTATCTTCTTATTTTATTTTAGACAGATATTTTGTTTAGCTTAAAATGCAAAGTAAGATATATTTATTTGTTTCAGAAAGATCCCTTACTTGCCTTTGAGTTAATTTTAAGTATACTACTAAACTATTGCCAAAAGTGGTTTGAATACCATCCTTTACCACCATTGAATATTTTGGGGATTATTGAGAATATCCTTCTAGAAGCTGATCCTATATTATTGAACATTTTTTGCGAACATGGAATCACAAGTAGAGAATATGCATGGCCATTACTTCAAACTGCAATGAGCGAAGTATTGTCAGGAGACGAGTGGTTGATTTTGTGGGATCATTTAATATCTTTCCAAAAACCTTCTATGTTATTGATATGTGTTGTTGCATATAATATTTTTTTGAAAGAAAATATAATTTCTTTATTAAAGTCATCTGAAGATATCAAAGCGTTTTATAACACTCAAAGTCATATTAGAGCCAAGGATTTGTTAAAGATCGCGAGAAAGCTAGATCAAAAGATATCAAAACGAATACATCCTAATCATTATTTGAGGTAATACATTCTAATATCACACAAATTGATTACATATATATATTAGTACTAATATTTAAAATTATTTCAGGGATGAGCTATTACAATTAAATCATAGCGGACCCTATCCTTCATTTATATCAGAATATCCAAAATTTCTTATTGAAAATCTTGCAGATTTGGAAAAATTAAAAATGCAAGAACAAAATTTACAAGAATATAATTGTAGAATTGCAGATTTTGAAAAGAGAAGATTATATGCAGAGACTGAAGCTTTTGTAAAGCAAATTCATGAAGCAAGAATAAATGGTAAAATATATTCAATCTATATTTTTTTTCTTTAATTCGTTATATTTTCAGTAACATCCTAATTTCACTAATTTCATAAATTTAGTCAAATTGTAAATATTGCAAAGAAATAATTAATTACTCATATTTCAGAGGTAGAGAAATGTTTTCAAGAACATATTAATAATTTAAATTGGAAATGGCAGACTTTGTTACCATATACAGAAAAAGAAAAATTCTGTTTTCATTTATATAAAAATTCTGATAAGAAATCTGAAAGGAAACAAGAATATAATAATTGTAAGATTGTAGAAGAAATAGTTTCGAATGAAGATGCTAATTCAAGAAATTATAAAAAATTACAACAAGATGTAACAAAGCTTGAGTGTGAAGTACAAAATTTCTTAGATTCGCTGAGATAACTCGAGGATGGATTAATTAAAGTTGCTAAGAATTTTAACAAAATAAAATTTTAATACAATGGTACAATAGAAATATATTTTAATTATATCATAATTATATACATTTCTTGACGAAATTTATTTGTATACTTTTTATAATCATTATATTTACAAATTTTACATTATATAATAAACAATACATAAAAAATTATGCATAATATGCACACGCACGCACGCACACGCGCGCGCGCACACACACAGAATGTCTCGGATCTATGGGATCCTCTCTCGTGAGTAAATAGAAGACTTTGACTTAGTTCAGTCCACTTTATCTGCTCACGAGAATCCCATAGGTCGAGCACACCTTGTATATTTATATTTATATAAGTATATATTATGTATAGAAAAATATTTTAATGTATCAAGAATACATGATCTAAGAATATATGTATCTTGTTGCATTGTTAAAAGTACATAATTTTACATTGATTATCTTGTTCGAATAT